TGTCTGAGGGGTTTTTCGCACAAATCTACAATCACAGCTCAACGTCAAAGCCTTCTCGGACTTTCGGTGAGACGACCAACTTACGCATGCTTTCCACTCGCCTCTTCAAGCCAGATGAAGGCTACTCCAACATCAACGTACCGAGCTAAAACGTGTTTGCCATTTAAATCGACATCGTTCCTTATTTCCAATGTGAGTAGTCCGAGAGATTGTCGGTAATTCCTGAATAAGCCTCGCCAAATTATGTTTATTGCATCGGTCTCGCTGACCCACGACGTCTCCAGGCCCGATTGATAGCATCGAGGAGCACTTATGACGCGAAAAGATGGAATCATCGCGTGCCTCACATCGACACGAACCGGCTCTGGTGCAGGCGGCCGGCGAAGCGAAGCGAGCCACCTGGCCAGCGCCACTGTTGGCGATTCTGACGCGCTTGGGCTGAATGGAGGCAGGCGGGCCGATCGAATGGCCAGCCGACAGCTAATCAGCCAATCAGCCTCGCGGACCGTAAGTGGCACGGGCCAATAGGAGGCGAAGAAGGACGGCAGCTTCCTTTCTTCACTCACGCTCTCCTTCCTCGACTTGCTAGACGGCCTGTTGGTCAGATTTGCTGTGAATGTCCTGGATCTGGGTGAGCCCCTTCATGTGCCAGGGAGAAATTGACCCATGTGACATGCCTATATGTGTTTGTGTGTTTGACTTCACAAAATGGCATGACGAATGGCGTCTATTTTGATCGGCTAGCCCTACCGTGCGCTTAGCTTAAGGCGCATTCGCAGCGGCGGGTGAACTAGGCGGTTGGTTTGAATTTTAGGTCCCGATCGATACTGTCACCTGGCCTGACTGGGCCTCACGAGCGAATGCTTTGGTGAGTTCAGGTCGGCCCACTAACAGTCCTTCATCACTTTAAATGGAATGGTGTGAGCAGAGTTCTCATATCAGATGTTTGATTGTCTCGAAAACCTAATCAGAAAATGAAAATTCGTCAAATTCTTTACAGTTAACTGGGCCTCACTAGCCTTGAAAGTCGTATCTGATATGTGGCGAGGGGATGGCGTTGCTGTCTGACATGCTCAATCCACTTTCAAATGACTTAGAGGCTGCCGATGCTGTTTTTGATGCGGGTCGAAATTGCAATTCAACTTGGACTAGAAATGCCT